GGACTCAAACCACGGTTGACTACATGGGAGTCCAGTGACATAGCCATTACGCTAACTGCTGGTCCCTCCAGCATCCCCTTGTGACAGAAGACAACGCTGAGGTACAGAAAGATGGAATATCTTGCCCAAAGTCACGCAACTACTAAAGGTTAGAGTGGGGATTTGAACCTAGCTGGGCTGGCTCTGGAGGCTGTAGTCCAGGCATGACACTGAAATGCCTCCAGAGGGACCAGCCGATGGAGTAATGGTTACATCACTGGACTCCCACGTAGTCGACTGTGGTTTGAGTCCTGGGCCTGGCAGCTTAAACTCATGCTGGGCATGTGTGCTTGGGTGCCCAAGATCCCGAGAGGAGAATGGAGGAGAAGGGATTGTAGTGTGAACATCCCCCCTGGGGGGTGATTTCTCACTTTCTGTCTGTCTATCTTTGTCTTTCCAGCAAACGCACGCGCCCTAGCAAAAACTTCTCTTAAAAAAAAAAAAGTTGAAATCCCTCCAGATAACAGATGGTATACATGCAAGTTAGGGGTTTTTTTTTCTTAGTGTGCTCAAAATCCTTTATTTATTTTTGAGAGAGATCTTTGTTATAGGGTGTGTATGCTCACTGGAGAGACAGAAAGTGAGAAATCACCCCCCAGGGGGGATGGCCACGCTGCAATCCCTTCTCCTCCATTCTCCTCCTGGGATTTGGGGACACGTACACATGTGCCTGGCGTGGATGTCAAGCTGTGGGATTTGGAACTTGAACCACTGTTGACCATGTGGGAGTCCAGTGCCTTAACCACTGCACCACCCACTGGTCCCAGAAGTTCTTTATTAAATAGGTCACACATCACAGAGACACACACTTATATTTTCACTATTAGCTGAAGTTATTCACACATAGCTGCTACCTTGAAGTTGCTGATTGACAAAATCAGCACTTTCTTGCTCAAAAAAATTTTTTTGAGAGTTTTTTTGCTATAGGGCACGTGTGCTGGCCAGACAGACAGAGAGAGACAGAGAGACAGAAAGTGAGAAATCACCCCCCAGGGGGGACGGCCACGCCGCAATCCCTTCTCTTCCATTCTCTTCTTG